GTAGTCCCAGCTACTCGGGAGGCTGAGGCAGGAGGATCGCTTGAGCCCAGGAGTTTGAGGTTGCTGTGAGCTAGGATGACGCCATGGCACTCTAGCCCAGGCAACACAGTGAGACTCTGTCTCAAAAAAAAAACAAAAAAAACCCAAAAAACAAAAGCCACCCCATTGGCACACTCACCTGCCAAAATGCCATTCGAGAGAGAGGACACCTTGGAAAACAGAATTATGCAACCACAGGGAAAGCCATGCTGGCCACCTGCATTAACAAATGCAGCCCTTATTATAAACTTGAAGAAATAACCTTAGATTTCCAGATATGTAGAAAAGCAGCAGCAGCTAAAAAAAAAAAAAAAAAAAACCCATAAAACAAAAAGAACAGCAGAAAAACTGAACCAGGAAAAAAGAGAACAGAAAATATGTCTTTTAAAACTGTAATTGGTATCCTCTGAGATACTGAACAGACTCCTAGGAACCAATGAAAAAGAATGCAATCAGAGAACTAGAGAGAGTTCTTAGAAATTAAAAAATATGATTAGTAAAAAATGCTATGGGATGAGCTGAATACTTTATATTATATGTGCACAAATGCATTTATGTTGATCTGGATAATAAAGAAGAAATTTTAAATGATTTGTAAAAAGCAGACAGAAAATATGATAGAATATTTAAACATAGAAGATAGATCCAGAAAGTCAAATATCTGTCTTTTAGAAGTTCAAAGGGGTAAGCCAGATAAAATAGAAGAGAGGAAGACACACAGATAGACGATAGATAGATAGAGACACATAGACATTAATAAATCAGAAGGATATCTGCATAAGCAAAGTTCTGGGCTTGAAAATCAATGTTTTCAAAGTTTGGGGGATTGTATGTAAGTAGGGGAATCATTCAATTCCATAACTATTAAATAAGAAGACAAAAAAGAGACATTTTCCAAAATTTAGGAACTCAAAATTTTACCTTACATGTACCTTCTTAAAAAAAATTACTTGAGGAGCTATAACAATAAAATGAGGAAGAAATCAAAGAAAGAGGACATGATAGAAACCAAGAAGGATGAACCACTTGGGTATAATCCAGAAAAAACAAAGAAAACTCAAAAAAATAAATAACTGTATCAAAATATTTGGAAGATCATCCTTGGCAAAGTCTGAACAATGCAGAATATTTTCTTGTACACAGCTCCAAGTATACTTACTTGGTTCTAGATTACATGGTATATATTAACACATAGAGGCACACCTCGAGATACTACGTTTAGTTCGAGACCACTGAAACAAAATGAATACTGCAATAAAGCAAGCCACATGAATTTTTTGGTTTCCCAGTGCATATAAAGGCCGTGTTTACAAGATACTGTAGTCTATTAAGTATGCAATAGCATTATGCCTTAAAAAGCAATGTGTATTATCTTAATTTAAAACTACTTTATTGCTAAAGAACGCTAATGATCATCTGAGCCTTAGGTGAGTTGTACCCTTTTTGCTGGTGGAAGGTCCTGCCTTGATGTTGATGGCTGCTGCTGACTGATCAGGGTGGTGGTTGCTGAAGTTTGGGGTGGCTGTGGCAATTCCTTAAAATAAGAACAATGAAGTTTGCCGCACTGATGGACTTCCTTTCATGAAACATTTCTCTGTAGTATGCGATGCTGTTTGATAGCATTTTACCCACAGTAAAACTTCTTTCAAAATTAGAGTCGGTCCTCTCAAACTCTGCCACTGTTTTATCAAGTAAGTTTATGTAATATTCTAAATCCTTTGTTGTCATTTCAACAATGTTCATAGCATCTTCACTAGGAGTAGATTCCATCTCATGGTACCATTTTTTTTTCTTCATCTGTGAGAAGCAACTCCTCATTCATTCAAGTTTTATCACGAGATTGCAGCAATTCAGTCACGTCTTCCCACTCTACTTCTAATTCTAGTGTTTTTGCTATTTCCACCACATCTGCAGTTATTTCCTCCACTGACATCTTAAATTCCTCCAAGTTACCTGTGATGGTTGAAATTAACTTCTTCCAAACTTCTGTTAATGTTTTGACCTCTCTCCATTAATCACGAATGTTCTTAATGGCATCTAGAATGGTGAATCCTACCCAGGTTTTTAATTTACTCTGGTCTCGCCTTATCACCTGGAGCTAGAGTACAGTGGCATTATCATAGCTCACTGCCTCAAACTCCTGGGCTCAAATGATCCTCCTGCCTCAGCCTCCTGAGTAGCTGGGACTACAGGTACATGCCACCATGCCCAGCTACCTTTTGTATTTTTTGTAGCAATGGGGTCTCTCGCTCAGGCTGGTCTCAAATTCCTGGCCTCAAGCAATCCTTCCCACCTTGGCTTCCCAAAGTGCTAGGATTACAGGTATGAGCCACTGCACCTGCCCCAAAATGTATTTCTCAAATAATAAGACTTGAAAGTCAAAATGATTCCTTGACTGCAGAGTGGATATCGTGTTAGCCCCATGGAAACAACATTCATTTCCTCGTACATCTCCATCAGAGTTCTTGGGTGACTAGGTGTATTTTCAGTGAGCAATAATATTTTGAAAGGAATCTTTTTCTGAGCAGTAGGTC